GGCTCGGAGAGGTGGTCCTAGGACAAAGACAGAGAAGCAGGTTGAGCACCTTGCACACCCCCTGTGAGCACACGGGGCGCTCCGCTGCCCTGTACAGCACATGTGAGGAATGGGCTGATGTATTTATCATTTCTCCCAATCTTCCAAAAGTGCCTGAATTTGGGAGGCTCTACCTCCCAGACAGTGAAGTTTGGTGAGGTGGTTTTACCCTTCCTCAGACAGGAGGAGCTGTGAGTGAAGAGCTCCTCTAATAGTCTCAGACTGGGCACCTAGAACTCATAGAAACATGGAATCATGGAATGGTTTGGGTTGGAAAGGACCTTAAGATCATCTAGTTCCAACCCCCTGCCATGGGCAGGGGCACCTCACACTAGACCATGTCACCCAAGGCTCTGTGCGACCTGGCCTCAGGCACTGCCAGGGATGCCAGAGCATTCCCTGTCCATTGAGGGGCTGTCCCAGTAAGCAGAAATTTCTGCCTTAGATCCAACCTGAACTTCCCCTGTTTCAATTTGAACCCATCACCCCTTGTCCTATCACTACAGTCCCTGATGAAGAATCCCTCTCCAGCAGCCTTGTAGCCCCCTTCAGACACCAGAAGCTGCTCTGAGGTCTCCACGCAGCTTCTCTTCTCCAGGCAGGACAGCCCCAATGTTCTCAGCCTGTCTTTGTATGGGAGGTGCTCCAGCCCCTGAGCATCCTCGTGGCCTCCTCACACAGATGACGTGACCCACATGACAGCTTTTGGAGACCATCCTATATGTGAATATATCATTTGATTGTTGGTAAATCTAGCCCAAGTCCTACCTTAGCTTGAGCAACACGACTGCCAGCAAAGTGGGGTTAATGAAGCGGCTGTGAGTGCTTGTCTCAGAGGTTCCTTTCTAAACACTTGTGTTTGTCTCTAAGGAGATGTGTTAGTAGCTAACTGATCTGAAAACCTCTTTAGCATAAACCTGAACTCTTCGCCATTTCTAGGTTTTAAATACCTTTGAACTAAGCTAAATCTTCTCTATCTCTGAGGCCAGGGGATGCATTTCTACCCATAGGATCACCTGCCCATGTATGAATAATCCCACTGAACCAGTCAGATCCCTTAAGCAAAGGCTGATGAGTACACATCCCTATTACACACTCCCATTGGTGTTTCATTCGCTTATACACTGGGAACACTCACCTGAACTGGTATTTAAGAAGCTCCTGAGACATAAATGCATAAAATTTCTTTGTGCTATAAAGTCCCACTACCCCACTCACCCGATGCTGTGTGGGACATGCACAACACACTGAGCAGAAGGACTGTCAGTAACTGAGTGTCAGTAACTGGCTCATCAGTAACAAGCCAGCCCAAAGAACTCTCCTAAGCAGTCATGGTATGGGGCAGACATTGGCCACAGGCTCAAAAGGAAGAGAAACCCAAGAACAAAGTCTCCTAGAGATGATTAACTCCCATGACCACACAGCAATATGGAACATATCTGCAATGGCTGGGAATAGGATGGCAATCCAGTTTTGATGGCATACACATTATACATGTGTAGGGGTGAGTTCTTCCAAAAAAGGTGTCTCCCTGAATGTGCACAGGGATTTCAAGACTTTATTACTGTGACTTCCTCTCCCCTTCTCCCAGCACAGCTTCAGTTAGTTTTCAGACACTAGTTCTGCAAGTACCTCTGAAGTCTCCAGTGACTGGATCTCTCTCGGTAACTCTACAGCATGCCTGTTGAAGTAGTCCATGGTAATAGCATTATTCCAATAGCTCAGGTTGTTTTCTGGGTTGGATGTCTTTTTCTTCCTCCTCATGCAGCAGACTGTCAGCAGAACTGCTGTCAACAGAAACATGTCAAAAATGTGGTTATTTCCTTTCGATAAGGACTCGTCAGTACCATGGATTTGGTTTTCACGTTACTCAAGGGAAAGGCTGGTGAGCTTTGTTCATACGATTCACTCTTGGTCAGATCTAGCTCCTTCCTATCAAACCCCACACAATTAAGTCAGAATCTGGGCCAAGTGGACAAAACTTTGGGCTTTGCAGAAAGATGAGGTTTCACTTCCCTTTTGATGTGAGTTTATAATCTCCAAGATGTGGCTCCCTGGCTAAGGAAAAGCTTTGGTGGTATAACTGATGGTATTTAACACCTAAGCAGGGATTTATAGACCCTCTAGGACAGAGGACTCTCCCCAGGGGCTGTGAAGGAAGCCACTGTGCACATCTTTTCTGCTTCTGGTGTGTTCAGACACTTCAGCAATGAGCACATTAGCAAATGGGCAGTGAGAGACGTGTCCTAGGTTCAGACACCAAATTAATACATGCAGGTAATTGCATGTCTTCAACACCAAAAGCTTCTGCCCTAAAGCGCCACCGATCCCTGCCTCTGTCACCTTCCATTTGTAAACTGGATTTTGGGTACTTTGTGACCATGCTCCAAAACATCAGTGACCAGATGCGCTCCTGAGCAGGATGAGGTGGCATGGAGATCCCCTCTGGTACCTGTCTCACATAGCTCATGCTTTCAGTGCAGCACTTACCCCTGAGCTGGTGTTTTCCTGCCTGTCTCCATCAGCTCTATCAGGGTGTGGGATCTACTGATCAGTGTAATCCATTCCCCACATTTCCCTGGGCACCAGCAGTTTCTGAGCCTGGCTTTTTTTCTTATCCGTGGAGCACACTGAAGCTCCTGCAATCTGAAATATTCGAGCTTAAAGCAGAGCAGTGAGGGAAGATGAAGTGGAACTTGTCTGGTCTCCTCCAGTATCTCCCCCGGTGTCCCGGCAGAGATGCCAGCCGGGATAACGCTCCCACAGCGCGCGGTCCGAACACAAAGCGGAGTGCTATTTTCTGGAACTGTTTTCTGTTCAGTCATCCCTGTTGCAATTCAGACGGGTGATCCTGGCACTTCTACAAGAGCCCGGCAAACCCACCGTAACAAACTCACTGCTCCCACTGGTCCTTGCTCGGGCAGAAGCTGGGGCATGTACCATGCCTTGCTCAGAGGATTAATGCATAAGCTGTGTGCTTATCTCACACCTGTGGAATGAACTGACCAGTTGTGCTTGTGATCTACCTCATTTATAAAGGGAATGCCCTGCTGTAAATTCAGCCTGTTCTTTCTAAACCCCTTGTGGTAGAAAAGAAGAGACAAAATATTCATGAAGCAGAAAAATATGTGATTTTCTCAGCTACAGCCGGAATTATTTATTAGAATTATAGCCCAGAGGCAAGACAAGACTGCAGAGAGGTCAGAGCTGCTTTGTATGTTTTGACAAACACTGCAGCTACCTGCATGCCCTGGGTAAAGTGGCAATACAGAAGTGCAAGGCTAGAGCCCTGTTTAAAACAAAATAATGAGCTACTAAGAAAAAACCCTGATGGGTCTGAGTTCAGGCAGTTTATGTCTCATTCAAAGGCCAAGGTGAGCTGAAGCTATAACTCTTCTCCCGAAACTAATGGAAAAATCCCCCACACTGCTCCTGCAGGTTTCAGAGAAGCAGATCATCATCGCACTGACTATTAGCTTTGACTCATATTGCTTCAGTCTTTCTGTCACCAGTAACTTCATTTGCTGACAGCACAACTCCTGCTGCTGTGCTTGTTAGTAGGCACCCCATGGGGGCCACCAGAACTGCCCAGGGAAATGCCCATCCTCCTCTGCCTCTGCTCTCTCCGTGTCCCAGCCCAGCCTGCAAGCTCCTTAAGATTAGAAAATGAAGCAGGACCTCCCTTTAGTCCTCCCCACTGCTGGCAAGAGCCAACAGACTTTGGAGCTTTTCAGTACTGCATCAACAAGTGCTCCCTAAGGTACAGAGCATGTCTGAAGGTGCCTGAGGATATGAGAGCCCCAGTAAAGCAAACGCAATTGCTGTGCAAATGGTTTGGAAACCTGAGGTTTTACAGCTATAAAATGTTGTGGCTACTGACAGAGATGTATCCAATTTAGGTTTTAGGGGCTGGAAAACTGGTGACACGGAGTCAAGAGAGACTCTTCTTCTTCCAGCAGGAAATGGCCTTGCCATGTGCAGATAGGGCTGCTCTACAGCAATAATGCTCTCTCCTGGCCTCGAACCTTAGTGCACACACAAGCAAATGGATGCAAAACCATGGCAAATGGGTTTCCGAGATTCCCTGAATACAGTATGTTTTAGCAGAAGGCTGTCTACGAAAGCTGCACCAACTCAAAGCACAGATTTAAGAGGGAGAGAGAGTACAGCAGGGCTGGAATAGGGCTATTTCCTCTCCATTTTATATTAACTACCCTCTTGGGGTATATTTTAGTGAAATTAATGTAACTAGCACAGGACTGATCTCCAGAACATTCCTAGGAACAGCGTACAGCTTTACCAATATTCTTAGAGACCTATTTACTCCCACAACTAGAATTAGGTGTATTACAGAAAAAACTCTTTCTAGAGAGGCAGCTGCAATGGCCAGCTAGGATATATTAAATGGATGAAAATACAGAGGACAGAGATGGTTTGGAAGGGAGAGATGGCAATATAACAACAACAGAGCTGAAGGGAGAAAGAGTAGCTGCAATACCCTGCTTATCTTTCCTGCTGTGTTATGTGATGTCCTCATACAGAAGAGAAAGTGCTTATGTTCAGTGCTATCATGTATGACCTCTGCTTCAGAGACAGCCAACACATTGGCCAGGAAAAGGACTACCTCTTCTCTGGTTTTCAACCCATACATTCAGAGGCTGAGCTGCTGACGAGCTCCAGTTCCAACACTTGCCTCTTTCTGGCCCTAGAGGTGCATTATCTGTTGTCCTTCCCCCACCCCCCGCATTGGAACAGGACATAATACATCTCACAAGCAGGAGAAATGAGGCTCTCACAGATTTACAGGTTTCGAGGCTGGTGGGAACATGTCCATCACCCACACTCACCTGCACAACATCTGCACACCAGGAGACTTTCCCCTGTTAACCACAAGCTGTATTTAAGGTACAGTACATCTCATAGGAAAATACCCAGCACCACTTAAGGACATGGAGTGCCCAGATATCCATCCCATTCCCACAAAGTTTGTTTTAATGCTCAGTTTCCATTGTGGTGACATGTTTACATTTCCCCTGTTGTCTAAATACAGCTTCAACCACCACTCAACCTCCCTTTGCCTTTTGTATTAAAAGCTTTCCCTATGCTATCAGAAATGTCCCCTGTATGTGGGCTTTAGCCTCTTCTTGGACTACAACGTGACATAAGTGCAGTTATGCTGCATTTCTCAGCTCTGAAATAATTCACAAGGCTCTTCCCTAATCTTCCAATGTTCTAAAAAACATAACCCACCAGGATTATACACCATGTTTAATACTGGCTTCATAAATGCAGTGTAATGAGATCATACCAACTCCCTACGATTTCCTGATAGTCTTCTGTCTTTTCTTTCAACTCACTTCAATAGTTTACCAATCTTCTATAGCTGAATACACCTTTCCCACACTCTCCAGCTCCCACACAGAACATGATGTTAACAGACTTGAAGGAAATATTCAGACCACAGGTTGTTAATTTACTTCTCCCTGTGCCTGCAGATCATAACATAAACTATGTTTCTAAAGAACCCTTGCCTCGATGACTACAATAATGAGGTTTTCTGTATTTCTTTCTATTTCCTTAACTTACTGTGGCCATCTATAGCAGTATATATAGTATACTCTTTATATATAGTATATGTATATA